AGGGGCCGGGTGCGCAGCTGCAGCCGAGCGGACTTCAATTTTCTCCTTGGCTCGGGCCGTTTCCTCAGATGAGGGAGCCGAGGCTTTAATGGCTCCCTCGAGGACCCCCGAATAGCGGGAGCCTTCCTGGGCTCCATCCAGAGCGTCGAGTTTCATTTAGATTGAGCATCTGCCGGGCGCAGGTGCTGTCATCCAGGCATGTGACCAGGCGAGAGCTGGACTCCTGTCATGAGAGCCGTGTTTGCGAGTGGGGGTATACTGGGAGCACTGTATATTCGTGTGTGTGTGTGTGTGTGTGTGTCTGTCTCTCCTTTTAACAAATTTCTTTACTTTGCCGTTAGGGCTGTGGAAAGCGTAGCGACTGTTAAGCAGATTAAACAGCCAGCCCCCTCCCTCCAGTTCCTGTCATTCCCCCCCCTCCCTGCGGTTCATCGTCTTCCCTTCTTGTGCTGGCATCACTCTTTCAATCTCGGTTTCAGCAGCGCCTATTCTTCTTGTTGTTTTCCAATTATTTTCTGTGACACATATCTAGTTGTCATCATTTCCTGTGTTGTTGTCGTGTTGTGAGCAAGCGCAGCCTTGAGCAGAGTCTGCGTAAGGTGAACCTGGATTTCTTGGGGAAAACTCAGCTTAGCAAGAAGTCCCAGGAGGTGTTTGAGATGTGGAGATGAATGCCAGCTCGGCGACTGAGGATCACAGTTGCTGCGAAAAGAATGCCTTTCTAGTCTGTACCTTTTTTGTTTTTATTCCAGCCGGCTGGGTGATTTTGGATTTGGGCCTTAAACTTTAATTTTCTATCTAATGAGGGAGACAGAGTACAGTATTGTGTCACCTAACAATAGGGGTACATTCGAGCACTGCGTCATTAGTCGATTTCATTGTTGTGCAAACATCGTAGGATGCACTTACCCCAACTAGGTTGGTGTAACCTACATACCCGGGCTACATGGGATAACCTAGTGTTCTTGGGCTACCCTCCTGCACGCATGTGACTGTACTGAATTCTGTGGGCAGCTGTCATACAGTGTGTATCTAAACACATTTGTGTATCTAAACATGGAAAAGGTGCAGTAAAGATTCAGTATAGAAGATGATAAATGGCACACCTGAATAGGGCAGCTCCCTTATACTCTGATGGAGTCCCCTGCTTATGTGGAGTCTGTCATTGACCGAAACATCGTTATGTGGTACATGACTGTAATTTATTGCTAAGGTCCCTCTCGGCACTATGTGACGTTGTTGTTGAAAGGAGGTAAGGAAAGTTTATGTATTACAGTGTTTTAGAGTTTGACATGAACTTTTAATTGCAATTTGGTCTTCTCTCATTCTGTGCTTAGTGACTAGCATTTGAGGGGGTTTTTTTGTTGTTTTTTTTGAGTCACAGTCTCACTCTATCACCCAGGCTGAAGTGCAGTGGCACACTGTGGCCACTGCAGCCCTGACCTGCTGCTGCTGGGCTCAGGTGATCCTTCTACCTCAGCCTTCCAAGTAACCAGAACTACAGGCATGTGCCACCACACCTGGCTTATTTTTTATAGAGACGAGGTCTCGCCACGTTACCCTGGCTGGTTTCGAACCCCAGGGCTCTGGCAGTCCTCTCGCCTCTGTCTCCCAAAGTGCTGGGATTACAGGCATAAGCCACCACACTGGCCTTTGAAGTCTTGATTTGAGAGTCGGTTCCCTTGTCCTTAGGTGAGTCAGTTATCTCTGTCACTTGCTTTCTCATCTCCGAGAGGTGGAGACTGAATTGTCTGAGGCCGCTCACAGCCCCTTCCAGAAATTCTTGCTGTCTCTCAGGTACGGCGACTACCCGAAGCTCCCCGACCGCTCCCAGCATGAGAGGGATCCGTGGTATGACTGGGACCACTCCGAACTGAGGCTGAACTGGGGTGAACCGGTGAGAGAGCCATGTCCCACTTGACCTTCCTTCTCCCTCTGTCTTCCGGATCTGGGATTCCATGTGGGGTGCATGCAACGGGACTTCGGGGAATAATCAAAGCCCTGCACTGTGAAAGTTGTGCACTTCCGTGACAGAACTGTCTCTGGTCAGCAGAACCCAGACAGGCCAGCGTCCAGTTCTGTGGGCCACTGTGTCTCAGACCTGACTCTCAGAGAACCATCTCCCGGAGCAGTAGGATGCTTCTGTCAGTGCTTGTGTCAGGCTCTGGTCACTCTGAACTGCCTGCATTTTGCAGGGAGAGTGGCATGTGACGGTTGTTTGTCTTTCGCTTCAGATACACTGGGACCTAGACATGTACATCAGGAACCGTGTGGACACGTCCCCCACGCCTGTCTCCTGGCACATCATGTGGAAGCAGCTCCTCGGCTTCATAGCCTTCATGGCGTTCATGTTTTGGGTGGGGGAGAAGTACCCCTCCTACCAGCCCGTGGTGAGTGTCTGGGAAGTACTTCCTTGGGCACGTGTGCCCTGCCCTGTTTCCCGAGGGAATGGAGCCTCTGGAGTGGGAATCCAGCCAAGACCAAGCTTGGCTTCCTGGAGGCTTAGGAGACAGGAAGATGGGCGGGCCTTAGCCATTGGCCTGGCCCGAGCGCCAGAGCCCTGCTCCAGCCCTGCTTCTCAGACCTATCTGAGAAGATGAACTTACGGCGCCCGGGGCAAGACACCGGGAGCAGCTTTTCTCGAGTTGCCCTGCGGGGGCTGCACGTGCCAGTGACGGCTCATCGGGCGGCCTTCAGGGTGGAGTCCGGGAGGCCCGAGCTGAAGCCTGAGCCTCCGCTGGACATGTGCAAGGCATCTCCTAGCGTTGATTGCCAGCAGTTCAGTGTCTGCACAGACCGTTCTGTATCAGGGCATACAGAGGACATAAATACATCCTCTAGCTCTAGGGATGTTTCGTTAAGAACACTGAGATAAGTGGCATGATGAGCCACTTGTGGACAGCTGCGTGGGAGTCTGGCCCGGTGTGAGTGTGGCTGTGTGTCCAGCGAATGTGTGTGCCGAGCGGTATGGGCTGCTCTCTGGGAGAAGGGCGAGCTGGATGCTAAAAAGAAATAGGACGCAGTTGGGGCAAGAGGAGACAGGGAAAAGGAGGGTGAGCTGGCTAGGGTGGAACAGACATGTCAGGTAGCTCCTGGTTAGCTGGCTGTGTCGGTGTCCTGGGGAGCTGCGAAGATTCGGAATCCCAGGCCCCACTTCTTGGAGACCCTCCTGTAGTAGTGTCACAGGATGGTTTGAGAACCAGTATTTTTAACAAGCTCCCGGGTCATTCTGAGGTGCTCCTAGATTTGGAAGCGAGTGAGGTGGTCAGTTAGGTCGGGCAGCTTTCGTCGCATTGCTGAGGGCCAGGACTTGACGGCGATGAACGCATGAATTCGGCACATACTTACGGAGCCCCAGCGACGCTCCAGGGGCAGCCCTGCTAAAGGGTCGAGCCCAGCGATGACTTGTTCTGCCCTGGGTAGCAGGAAGCCCTTCTGGGGTCGGAACCGAGGCGTGACACGTGCAGGCTGGGTTCTGGGGAAGATGATCTGGAGGCGTCGGCAGGATGGGGCGGAAAGAGGAGCTGAGCGCAGGGAGGCCGCTGCGTCGCGGTCAGCTGCCCAGCGCTCCTCTGCAGGGATAACCAGTGTGCTGGAGGTGGCTGGCGTGTCTGTGTGCACTGACACGAGCCTTCCTGCCAGGCCCCAGGGGCCGCGTGCTGGAGAGTGCACAGAGGGCTGGGGCGAGCACCGGCTTCACTTCAGGAGAGCAGGAGGCACAGTGTGGCTCTGGCGTTTTTCAGCTCTGTGAGCACATCAGCCTTCCTCCTCCCCTTGAGCTGCGCTCGCTGACAGCTGTTTGTTGGTAAAGCCAGCCGCCCCGCAGCACGTCCAGTCCCGTCTCCCCCGTGCTCGCCCCACTGCTGCTCCTGCACGCCTCATTTGCCAGGCCACTTTCGCGGTGGGGCCATTAGAGGCTGAGTGACTTAGAGGAGATTGAGTCTGTCTCGACCCCGAGAGAGAGTGGGATGGATGGATGCGTCGTCTCATTTAGAAAGCCTTCCTCCGACTCCTCTCCCACTCGCTCTGCCTCTCTCTCTCGACTGCCCTTCTCCCCCGCTTCCCCTCCCCGCCTCCCTCTCCCTCTCCCCTGCGCAGGGTAGGCGCCACCTCTCTTACAGTTCAGGCTTCTCTCTGCATTGGGCTCAGCGGCTCCGGCCTTCCAGCCCAGCCGGCCCTGACCAGCGGCCCCCACGTGCCCGTTGCCCGCGCGTGACTGTGAACTCAAGAGTGGGAGCCAGGTGTTGACCGGAGGGCGGAGTTCTTGCTGACCTGTGTTTTCTCCTCAGGGGCCAAAGCAGTACCCTTACAATGACCTGTACCTGGAGCGCGGCGGCGATCCCACCAAAGAGCCGGAGCCGGTGGTTCACTACGAGATCTGAGGTGGCTTCACGGGCTTCTGTGCCCCCTAGCTAGGGCCCTCGTTCCAGAAGTCGCACCGGAAGCAAATCCCTAATAAAACCTAGAGCTGTGGTGTCTGCGCCTCCTTTCCCCAGATAGACCCTGCCCTGAGGAGCCTCCTCCGTGTTTTTCCTGCCTGCCACCTCCCCTCCTCTTGTTTTCCTGTTATTTGGTTTAAAGGATGAGGGCGAGGTAGAGAAGTTGAGTGCAAGATGTGAGCTAATTTCACTGGGGCTGTGATGGTCGTTGAGGGCTTCCGTTGTGCCCCAGGTGTGGCTGGTTGCTCCTTTTCCCATCTATAGGGTCGAGGAAGAAGGAAGCCATGTATAGGAGTGACAGGTGTGTGGGGCCCTCCTGCCTAAGGCTGTGCCTGCCTCTGATCTTAGTTATAGGAATATCCTTGCTGGGTGCGGTGACTCAGCTTGAAATCCCAACCCTTTGGGAGGCTAAGGCAGGACAGTCACTGGAGCCCAGGAGTTCAAGGCTGCGGTGAGTCAAGATGGCACCACTGCACTCCAGCCTGGGTGGCGGAGTGAGACCCCCATTCCTAAAATAAAAAAGGTCCACGGGGGAAGGATCATTAAAAAGGAATATTCTTTATTCCCCAGCAGTTTATGAATCGGCTTCTTAATAAGCCGGCATTACATGTGGTTAAGAATTAGAGAACAGTGACTTACTGCCAAATCTTCTGGTATCTTCATTGCTTGAATGCTTCATCCATGCTACAATAATAGCCTTAGAAAGAGGAAAACCTTGTTTTTGAGAGTCCATCTCACGTATCTGGTTTTCTTGGTTTAGGGTCAGGGTCTTGCTCTGTCACCCAGGCAGTGGCATGGTCATAGCTCGCTGTAACCTTGGACTCCTGACTTCAAGCAGTCCTCCCACCTCAGCCTCCCAAATGCTGGGGTTACAGCTGTGAACCACTGTGCCTGGCCCTAGTGCATATGTTTTTAAGTGAACCAACCTGGGTTCTTTGTGTTCCTTTGGGGACATTTTCTTAAATTACAGTCATACTGTCGGAGAGCCTGTCCCATTAAAAAAATGTACATTTGGCCGGGCTTGGTGGTTCAGCCTGTAATCCCACGCTTTGGGAGGCCGAGGCGAGCGGATTGCCTGAGCCCACAGGTTCAAGATCCGCCTGGGCAACTTGGCGAGACGTCGTCTCTACAATAAGTCAAAAATTAGCCGGGCATGGTAGCACGTACCTGTAGTTCTGGCTACTTGGAAGGCTGAGGCGGAAGGATTGCTGGAGCCCAGCAGGTCGAGGCTCTGGTGGTCGGGAGCGGCCACTGCACTCCAGTCTAGGTGACAGAGTGAGACTCCAAAAAAAAAAAAAGTGTACATTTAATGTGACTTAAAGAAGTTAGTTCAAGTTAGATACAAGGTCCTCTCATGGTTGTCCAGGTGATAAATGAGACCTTTGTGAAATCAGGAAGTGGGTGCGTCGGTGGAATGCCACTGGGAAGGTCCCCACTGCCTCCTCTATCTGCTTTCATTTTCTGTCCCCCACAACCTCCGATAACTACGTATTTTGTAAACATCTGTGTGTCTGACATGTATCAGATACTGATTAGCCCCAGGGCTGTGAACTGAGCAAGACAAGATGAGACCAGCAGCTACAAAACAAGGGAAAAGATATTCCTAAGATGTGTGAACTGAGGAGAGTCCTTGTTTAATTTAGTCATGCCCTGCCTGGAAGTGACTTCGGTGTCTGACCTGAATTTCTCTGGAGCCCTCCACCTGTGGCACTCTGGCTTCTTCCCTAGTTCTGGGTGCCGCGGAAGCTTCGGTTTTCCACCCTGCTTGCTCTTCCTCAGGCCTCAGCCACTTGTACCAAGACGTCGGAGAAGGATTCAGTGCTCAGCAGGGAGAAAGTGGGCCAGGCACAGGCAATGCCCTAGCGTGTCTTCTGCCTGATTCCAAAACTCCCGAAGCCTCATGTGAAGGAACTCGAGTAATGTGATGGCAGGTGGGCTCTGCCATAACGGGCTCCGGTCTCGGAGGTACCTCGGGTGGGGTGCCGAGAATCCGTGCCTCGAGGGAAGTTTGGGTCCAACCTAACCTCCCAGCTGCCTACAGAAGATTTTTATTGGGAGTGCCACAGATTCCCCGACACAGCACATTGGTTCCCGGGTCTCGGGCCCGTGAGAGCGCCCGGGCTCCCCCCCAGCCCCTTTTCAGCCTCGGAGCGGTCCGGTCTCTGCAGTCGTCCCACCTGCATCCGGCCTTTCGCCGCCACCTGCGTCGCGCCACCGTCTCCCGAGTCGAGTCCCTGCCTCCGGTTCCCTCGCCCCAAGGGACTGCCTCGCAGGACGCAAGACACAGCCACTG